GGTGTGCTCTGCTGGTTGGCGGTTTGTGTCTGGTGGCTGGACGGCGATGACTGGTGACTGGTGACTGCTAACCGTTGATGGTTGACGGTTCTCGTTTAACAGTGCCGATGATGGTGGAAACTTCGTTGCAGGCTAAACTAATGACGTGACGTCGGTTTGACGTCGGTTTGACGTCGGGCTGACGTCGCGTGCGCCGTTACGATGAAACAAAACCGATGGGGCGTCCGCGGGATCTATGCACCTTACGCTCCTGCATCATGGCAACGCACTATTTGTTATTTCACCCTTTCGGTGCCACCTTCATTAATCAATCTCCCAGCCATTAGTCGTTTCTATGTATTTTTCTTCCACAAGACTGCAACCTCATGGACACCTCCGGATCTCCGGATCTCCGGATCTCCGGATCTGTCTCTCGGTCTCCTACACGGGCTTATTTCCCTTAACTGGCCGCAGCTCCCTCTAACCAGGTTTAAATTCCGCATGATGGCGACCCTCGTAAGTTTCATCTCCGGTAACTCCGTCAACTGTCACAGGAACGAGATGAAGCAGACGTTGGAGGTGAACGGGCATTGCCAAAGGGCCGGGGCAAAGATGAGGCTAAGGATGAGGAGCGGGCAAAAGGTTCCTGCGATACGGAATGTCTGGAAAGACCTTAGGAGTTACCTTAGGAAGTAAGAGGAGCGCGCGGGCGCGTCTTGACGAAAGACCTACTATATATGTATATCAAATCGAAAGACGATCGTTAAGTACCATGGTACGAGGAGCGAGACACGTTGATGTGCGTGTAACTGCGAATGGAATCGTGCTGGGAATATCCTGCCCTGTGCCTACTCGCATAGCTTCTAGCTAGAGTCAAACTTGAAAATTCATTTCAAGTTCTGAAAGTCCGCGCTCATATATACGTTAGACGCACTACGAAACTCGATTAGAGTTTTCATGAAGCAGCGCGGCGCGTCTGCCAGTTTTATGTACAGCAGAGACGCCTTATTGCTTGTTGGTCGCCAAAAGATTTTACGGCTGACTTTTCGCTTCTCCAATTTCCATCCCAACGTTGTGCGTACTCCGACTGCGCAAAGAATCTACAATATTTTCTTGAAACTTTTAGCCAGAACGATCTTCGTTGACTCTTGCGAAAATGTCAGCACTCGTCTTGCCGCCTGCTCTCTTTGCTTTCTTGTCTTTCTTGTACACGTATAGCCAATTGGACATAAGTGTCAAGACTCGAAACAAAAGTCCCCCTTCTCGCTTGTTTCTCGCTTGTTTTCCGCCGTCGCCTCGTCTTCCAAGGGTCGACGTGGCGACACGCTGCATCCGAACATCAAACTGCTAATCAGATTAAACTTATTGCTCAGCTTGGGAATTCATCCGCCAGCTAACCAATTATATGAAGCAATGAAAGTACTAGTAGATGATCGAAGGTTTGGCTAGCTTAGGAACATGTAAGATATGAAGATCGCGATGGAAAGATGAAAGGGAGGTAAATGCAGGTGGAAAGAACAGGGATTGCGAGAAGTCCGCGAGGAGGTCAAGGCTTAGCCATCTGCCTATAAGCACTTTCTTATAATTTCGCATGGCAAATAGTTGCGATAAGCCGAGCAAAATACCGAACAGGTTTGAATTAAGAAAAAATGATGTTTCTTGTTTCAGTGGAGGAAGTTACGTTATCTAATCTTAACGACTCGAATGTGAAAATAACAGACACAGTAAGACTAGTGTGCAGGACGAGTGGATCGCCACCCCCGAGGGTCCACTGGCTCAAGGACGGCCTGCCCCTGCATCCCCGAAGAGGTCTCAGGATTCAACACAAACGGTAAGTCTGTGTACCACTCTTCTCTCTATCTCTCTTTTAGGCATATTAAACACTCGTATTCAAGGATTATTAATTTATATTCATTAATATTATATAATTTTGTTAAGCTATATGAGTGAAACTTTTAACATGTATTACCGTTACAATTCATTTATATTTTATGGCTGTATAAGACGGTATCTGTTAGCCCGACTTCTCAGAGGAAGTGTCGTCCAGAGTCCGAAGTAAATGCGTTCGCTTGTCGCGGCGTTCTTTCTTTCTCTCTTAGGATCAGTTTTTGCCCCGAGCGACGCTCGCCAATCGTTGCGTTAGTTGCGTTACCTGTGTTACCTGTGTTACTTGTGTTACTTGTGATACGTCTACTGTTCCCGCATGATCGCGCGGGAGACCAGGACGTTGCCATTTGGCCGACAGATCGGGAAGAGCATCGTCGCGAGTGGGTCTCGTGGAAAATTTGGCTGGTGGGCCAAAGTAAAGGGCGGAGGGGGTGGGACGCAGGGGAAACGTGCTCAACTGCTCACTAGAGCGCGCTCGTAGGTGTTACGCGGGAGCTCAGTGACTCAACGCTTGGCAGAGATCATCGTCGCGTATAATTAAAGATGATACTTCCCTCCTCCCACCGGCCAAGACGTTTCTCTCTGGAGACGCAGCCTGCAGTTTGGGGACTGTCGGCCATCTCGTCATTATCATTTTATAGAAATAGAGACATTCAGTCTTGTCAGCGTTATGGGTGGAAAATGGTCGAAGACCTGGAGCCACGTGTTCCACCTTCTGCATTGCATCTCGGAGAACGAGAAAAACTTTGATCTTGCCAGCATCGAGTTTTCCCAGAGATGCCGAGACCTTTGCCGAAGCTTAGAACTTTCCTCGAGGAATCTCTTTGAGCTTAATCTCTGCGGTTTGCGATGCGAACGACGCGACGCAATTAGTTTAAGAGCCCAGAGAGTTTTTCTCTCTCTACAGATAGCGAGTCTAGTACCGACAGCCGACATAGAGAAGCACGTTAGGCGAATCACGCGTAACAACAGTTCGAAGTAGCTAATCATCTAATTACTAGTTACTTACTTAGGTATTATATTATAGCTAATTAGAGGAGCCTGTCGTCACGAATGTCACATGGCTCTTACGGGATGACAGTCGACATATCGAGTCCCGCATGTTACGTGCCTTTGGCAATAGTGCCAATGAGTTTTGGCTTTATCAGTCAATCAAACGATTAAATTCGCACATTAACGTCGTCAATTGCACCATTCGTCAATCTACTTTGTCATTAGCTCATTAAAGATTCCCATCTCTTGGAGATGCACGACGAATTTGTCACGTTGCGGAAACCGTAATTCATTAATGCGCCTTTAATAGGACCGCGATACTAATTTCTCCTTACTTTCCACCTAAATTAAAAACATATGTCGTCGAATAAACGCTCTCATAATCCGAATGGCGGCTAGCTCCTCTCAGCTGGCAAACGATCGAAGAAAAGTCCTAGAAACCGAAAATGGTCAGCTGAAATAGTCGAGTATTTGCATAGACTCGTGAAACAGCCCGAGTTTCCCTCCTAGATATGCATATACATGTAGTATACTTGTTGAAAGGTGAATTATTCTGATTGCGAATGCAGATTTACATGGAAGCTGCAGAAGAGGCTTCTAAATTGTTCTCTGCGGACGATGCGCCCCGAGGATGGCGGACAAAGCGTCGCTAACGACTCGGAAGTTGATAATTATCGTAAATTGTGTGTCTTGACCGGCGCCCGACGCGTCGGGCTGCTGGACGCCGCGGCGGGAGATCCGCAAGCACCGCGCGACGCTTCCATATACCGAAGGCAGACGCCTCGGTGCCATCGTAGGACTCACGCTGTAAGGAGCTACACGTTCTAGATACCTCTGTGAAGTTGGCCCCTCTTTATGCAAATTAAAAGAAAATAATTAGAGTTCTCCTTGCCTCCGGAAGTTATTAGGAAATAGCGAATTAGCAAATTATTCGCGAATTGCGAAACGAGTCGTGAATGACGCGTTGCTTTCGCGAATCCACAACTCGGCCGTTTCCTGCCTATTACCTTGCGTGTGCCGCTCTTACCTCGTGGGTAACACTCCGTCAAGCGAGACCTTCGAAGTGAGTGCAGTGTTAAGAAGAAGAAGAAGAAGAAGAAGAAGAAGAAGAAGAAGAAGAAGAAGGAGTAGAGGAAGCGGAGATTATAAAGACTCTATACGTACATATTTCAAGAGCACATCTCTCCAATTAGGGTCGAATGGCCCATCAGTTTTAATTAATAATTCATTAGTAACACACAAAGGCTTTCGCAACCCGAAGACAGAAGCCCCAATTCCAAGCAAATTTCCGCTGTTACCAGAGTTCCATTAGGCAAGCGAAAGATGGGTGAATGGCGAAAATACAAGATTCCAAAAGCAAACGAATGGTCTTTTAATAAATCGCTTCTGGCTGCAAATTGATGACCGTGCGTGCTCTACTCATTCGAATAGGGATTTTCGTCCTTTTGGCCTGCATGGCCCAGTTAAATTCGCAAAGGGTTACGCTGTGTGCGTCGCTTTGGGAAGGGCAGAGCAACAAGGAAAAGGGAGGAGTGTTGATTATCGATAATTGAAGATGTGTCCAACACACCCGGCAGTGCGTCCCTGTGTGCACGAAACACGATAAAGAATATCACTGGGTGCTCTCCCGCGCTTCGCGTTAACCGTCTGCGGAAACCTCGTATCGTGCTGGGTGGGAACTTCTTACTCCTGCATTTCAGGCCAATGTGACGTCCCACTAGCTGCCCGTAGGCCCCATCAACCGGCAATTCATCAGTTCATCAGTTCATCAGTTCATCAGTTCATCAGTCAGCCAATGCAGTCAACGTAGAAATCGCTGTGAAACTCTCGACCCCCGAGCGTGTTTATTTAGAATCGCGACAAGGTCCACTATCTCCTTGTGACTCATCTTCGCACAGTCGACAGAGAAGAAGAGAAGAAGAGAAGAAGAGAAGAAGAGAAGAAGAGCATCTCTTTCGCACACCTCTCGGCAGTCCTCGGCGATTCGTCGTGCCTGCCAAGACTCTGGTTAGATTTAAATTGGTCCGTTTGGAAAAGTACTCTCTAGAAATACCCTAGAGTCCAAAGAAGATAGCCGAGGATCGACTCGATCCTCCTTGCGAATTGTCTTGCTCGTCTTCCTCTTCTTTCCTTTCTCTTCCTAGCGTCATCATCCTCGTCATCGCATAGTCACGGAGCCGATCTGTCGCTTCTCTAAATATAAAATGTGGACCGCATCGGCGAAATTATCGCTGCGTTTTTAGACGTGCGGTTAACCGGTTCTAGGAACTGAACGATTCTTCCTTGCTAAATTATTTCGATTATTTCAAAATCTACGAAATCCCATCGGGTCCTGCAAGACACCACCAGGACTTGAGTGTTCGACGTATCCGTGCTCTCCGCACCCCGAGTATCCCGTCTCAGCCACCATTACTATCACAATGGCGTTCTGACGTCGACTGATTGTGAGATCTGTCCCCTAGATTCTGTGTCCAGCTGCACCCTCGACCCACTGTGGAGCAGTTGGATCTCTGGATGAATCAGCACGTAGCTCCTTACGCTCAATGTACACGTCACCATGCTTGTAAGATTCACACGGGGATTCCAGGTTGGCATTTCGGCTACCACTTGAAGTCACCAGCCGAGAGAAAAGGAGAGGCCGCCTCTCGAAAGCTCTCCAGAGGACTTTACCGACTGGGATTCATCCTCCCGAAGAGTCATATTGCCCAAGCGACCGGGTGGACGGAGAAACGAGAGAGAGAGAGAGAGAGAGAGAGAGAGAGAGAGAGAGAGAGAGAGAGAGAGAGAGGGCTTCTCCCTGGGGCTCCATCTGATTCTGTCTGCCTGTCTCGCTGCTACCAACCCCGATTAGCCCGCATTCGCTACTAGCTGCTCCACCCTATATGTATATCTTAATCTCCCTTCCCCCTTTCGACTCTTACCACCTGACATGCCTATGGGATATAGCCAAGGCAACACAAGCTACGTCATACTCACCTAGTACTGGTAATAATTGAAAATTGTGCCCACAGATTAGAAACTGGTCCTCAAAGATTCTATAAATTACAAAGAGAGAGCCGAAAAGACATTGGCAATCAATGTGGATCTTCGGATAGTCCATTCTGTAAGTTCCCCTTGATCACGCCGTGCATAACGTGTATCGAGAGCGGCAACTAATTGTAAGACAGGAGAAGCGCAAGAGACAGGACGATGGAACAGGGAAGGGCAAGAGAGGAATCCGAGCCGATCATCCTTCCAAGATCTCATGAAAACTTCTAGTTTAATGGGAAACCACGGGCATTCAGGATCCCACGAGAGAACGTCTAGACAGGCCCGAAGTAGAAAAGGCCTCTGGTCCTGCTTTTACCCAGGGTGCAACTTTACGTTTTTCATCTTTTTTCATCCGAAAGTCATTCGATTCCACTACTCGATTGTCTCATATTGACGAGACTTGAAGAATCATTTATCAAGGAGTTTGATTTTGTTAAAATGTCCGCTCTAATCTTCGGGGAACGTTTCGTTTACAGAGAAGCCTCGATTTCGGAAGACGACACACTAGCAAAATTGGTGAGAGCTTTCGCGTTATACATATAGGTAGCGAGCAGCCTCGATGAGCTGGCGTTACCGAATTAGAAGCACGACGCTCGAGTCGACGAAGCGATATACGAGCGAAGGAAGCCGGACGAGGAACGATGGACTCGGGCTAAGAGAAATAGGAGGGAGAGAGAGAGAGAGAGAGAGAGAGAGAGAGAGAGAGAGAGAGAGAGAGAAGCAGCGTCGCGTTGTCTAGCGGAGTTGTGCGGCGAGCGAGGAGTTTGTGGAAATCACCCTCTGCTTATTGTTAGCGAGAAGGGTTGCTGCGGACGATAGATAGTTGGACGGGACCGGCAGGCCTCTCGAGGAGTATCAAGAGAAGCATGGAGGTGATGGGCCGGGGAATGGCCGGAGAATGGCCGGGGATGGGAGAGAACGGGATGGTGAGCAGCCATTCAAGCGGTAGAGGCATTAACACGGCAAGGCAGCGCAAAAGAAAACCATTAACTACTTCTAGTGGATAGAAGAAAAACAGAAGGGAGAAAAGTTTCCTCCGAGCAGGAGTTTTCCTGATGCCGTTTCCATTACAAGATGGATCGTTCGATTCCCGCTACGGTGCACTGACGTCCAGTCAAAGCCACCATTAACAATCCATTTTCTGAGTGGCCAATGAGATCCACCCGATCGATCAGTTTTCCTGCAGCACTCGGCCGCGTTGCCCTTTAGATCTATCTATATGGGACTCGTGGCCTAATTACATTATATCGGTCCTGCGACGTCTTCCCCTGTATCGAGAAGGATCTTCGGAATATTGAAAACGGCCAAACTCTCGAGAAAAGTTATGCGCGTGACCCTGACTCAATATTCTTTAAGACTCAACTAATTGGCATTATGCGTGCGCAATGTGTGTTCCTCGACCTTCGTAATATAATGTCCATTCGAGCCAATAGGCACATTATGCACAGCCCTGAATAGAACAGTCCGGCTGGAATAAGCGGTCGGAAGCGTCATTGAAGCATCGATGTCAGAATAATAATAAGAGAGCGACGTTGGAAAGTCTCCTGGAACAGAGATACATGTATGTAACTATGATTTCTATCGGGTGCACGAGGAGTCACGGAAAATGAGAAATTGTCAGGATAGCCTATTGACAGGCGCTGGCGCAGCCGTCACGACGTAATGAGTAGCGACCGCAGACGCAGTCGCAGTTCGATTTTCATACCGACGTGTCCGCATCCATCCGCTTTAAATAGTTTTACATGCTGCACGCAAGAAAAAAGCTAGAGTCGGCACAAACAGAACCGGAGAGTTTCTAATTTGGTGCTGCGGCAAAAATCGACACTCCGTCTAGACTACTGGCACTCCTCGCGCGGAGCGTATGCGATCTATTTATGTATTCCATCTCGTTCATGCTGCCCTCTTTCCCTCTTTCCCTCTTTCCCTCTTTTCCCTCTTTTTCCACCATTCCCCCCTCCCTTTCTTCCCTAGTCTTCAGTCTCCTGGCCACATCGCCTCCCCCCCC